CCCGTGGAAGCTGCTCGGGGGTTTCTCGCGGTGCTGACCGGGTTAGCAGGCGCGGCGTGTCGAGTGAGAGTGAGGTTGTTCGGCATCCTCCGAACTGTGAGGAAGGTGTTGATACACCTCAGCCCTTGGGCCGCTGTATTTTTGTGGGATCGCGGCCCTCCCGATACAGTGAGAAAAATTCATGCTTGCCAAACCCTGCTCGGGTGATTGTGTCATCAACCTTTAGCCCCTCCGGCTAGCAGAGGTGTTTTGCGGTTTAGCTGCCAGACTCGAGCCTGCCCATGTGATTCGTGAGCAATGATAGTCTTTAAGAGCCTGTCAAATTTGCAAGAGCCTTTTGGCTGTGAGCGTTTGCACATCTGTGCAAAGTTACCTGCACTTAAAATCTGTCTGATAGGCCATTGTAAAACCTCTGATACTTTACTGCCACATAAAAGCCCTCCACACTTGTGTGTACGGATGTAGGCATGTTAAAGAACAATACATGGCATCAGAAGTTATCTGCAATCTTATGTGTGCAAAAGGCACCGTTGGTTGGTTCACCTGTAAATACATCCCTGCTCGGTTTAGTTGAGGAGCCAAAATCGACCAAGTGAGTTGGCAAATTTAACTGTCTGTAGGGATATGCTTGGTTGTAGTAGCTGGTGTAATTAGCAGCACTAATGCAGTGACTGAGTGAGAATGGAGGACTCCTGTCCCTGTCCAAGTTGGGTTAGGGGAGAGATGAGTCAGTGGAAATTAAGTGTCTTGTTGAAGGATGCAGAGCTGGTGCTTTAACAGGAAGTCTCTTGTGGCCTGTGTGCCTAAATGGCTCTACTTCTCTAAGTGAAAGTCAGTACTTCTCTGAAAGATCTAATGTGCCTCTGTCCTATACAAGCCTGATTATTTCACTTAAATAATTACTGTTAGAAATTCCAAACTGGGGTTAGATCAAATTGTGTGAAAGAAATTGCCTTTCTTAGTTTTTCATAGGGATTAAGTTTAACATTCTTATCTACTGCGGAGACAGGTCCCTTTTCAGGCAAATGGAGGCTGTGATGTTGATGGCACCAGTTTAATGCACTTAAGTAAAATTCAGCAACTGCATTTATTTTAAAGATTTGTTGCTTCTGTGTTAGATTCAACAACAAACTTGTGTTTCCAAAAACTTGATGTTTTGTTGTTTGGGGTTTTTTGATGTACATGAAATTTAATAATACTTTTCCTTTATTGCTCTGGTTTTGCTTATATCTAGTAGCTAGTATATATGCTTATACCTAGCAGCTCTAGAGCTACAAGAGCCTACTACAGGAAATGTCAATATTGGCTCTAGAAAAATGTTCCAGCACTGTTTTGATATTTCTTCTATTTCTTAGTAGTGTTACTGCCTCTGTGCACATTTTCTCATATTTTGATGAGAATGAAGAATAGAAAGTATTCAATAGAAAGCATTCACCCTATGACTTCTTCAGAGAGAAGAACTCATTTTCCTGCCCACTGTTTTTGACAAATGTTTTTCCGTTATGGGAATAATTTTGAGATGTCCTGAAAACTTTTTGAAATAAGTAGTTCTGTTCTAGCAGTGTCCTATCTCTTTTCAGGACTGGCCTTGTTTCCCATGTACAAAACCTGAGTCTCATTATAACATATGTGTGTCCACATGCTAAATTTCATGAACTTTGCTCACAGTAGCAGACAACTAGGTAATTTATCTCCTGGCTCTTGTCAAACATGATTACCTATACACATAGATAGCAATGTTAACTAAGAGATGTAATCAAACTGGGCATGTAGTGCTAAAGGTTGAAGTGCAAGTGCCAGCATGCTCTGCCTTTGACTAACTGCAGTATGAAGGATTAATATCTTGCTTCTCAGCTTAAAATTAAAACCTGCTTTAGCCAAGGATGCATTTCTTGCATAGCATTTGTATACTGGGAAATAAAATAACATTCATCCAAGGGCTTGAATGCCTGCTTGGTGTCAACATTATTGGGATGAGTACAGAGGTTAAAAATATACCTGAAATGGTATGATTCAAGCCTATGATATTTGCATAATGCAAGTGGGGGGAGGTGAAAAGAAGAAACTCAACAGTTTGCAGTGCTTTCTTGAAGCACTGTATTCAACTGTGAAAGCAGACTCTCCTCAATAACTGTAGTACAGGTAGTCGAAAAAAGCTAGTAGTGACAGTTAGTAATTTACCTGGTGTGTTTTGGAGATTTAGAAACACATTGTCTTCTGAAGCACAGCTTGTGGGTTTTCAGCAGGGTTTAAACTGACTTGGTTTGCATCTAGCTTTGCTACAAAGCAAAAAAAAAAAAAAAGAAAAAAGTTGTGGTCCTAAAAGGAGAATTTTACCTGACCTAAAGTACTAGCCCATAATGTGAGGTGAGGAATTTATAAAGCAGATGAGGGTGGGTATTTCCTACTTCTGCTAAATGGTAAATGAATTGTGTACTGCATCCTTGGAGGAGAGTAGGAGCAACCTGGAGATGAGGCAGAAAAAGGACAAATGGGTCACATATGCAGGTGTAAGCCTATATATATATTTTTTAAACAACACTCAAAAGCAAGCTAGAGAAAATATTTAGGAAATGTGTTTCAGTTTTGAGATCTTGATGTTTTTGCATTTTCTCTAAGGTTTATTCTCTCTGATAAATCTCTGGGTTTTGGTTTTTTTTTTTATATCAGGTATCTGAAGAACTAGCCTCAAGATGAACTTCTTCCTGGAAACATTAAGAGTGATTGGACTTTTTCTTTATTACTTACTGGAGTCATTAGTGTTCCTGGTTGTACCTAAATGGAAGAAGAATGTTAGTGGTGAAATAGTTTTAATAACAGGAGCAGGAAGTGGCATTGGAAGACTCTTATCATTAAAGTTTGCCAACCTTGGAGCCACAGTGGTTCTCTGGGACATTAATCAAGAGGGGCTCAAGGAGACAGTTAGACTGGCCAGAAGAAATGGAACAGTGAGAGTTCATTCTTACATCTGTGATTGTAGCAAAAGGCAGGATGTCTACAGAGTAGCTGATCAGGTAAAGTATCTTATTTGTGGCTTTGACACTATACTAAGATGAGTGCACACACGTGTGTATGATGTACCATTAAGTTTTTTAGTGGCATCAAAGCAAGAGATTAAAGTTAATTTATTCCAGTGTATTGTGCCTGCTACCTATTTCAAGAATGCTGTTTTTTAGAGTTGACTTGTTTGTATCTCTATTCCTTAAAAAAATGAAAAGATCTGATTCTCTTTCAGTAGCTCATTTCAACTGGGTAGCTTCTCATTCATTTATTCAATTACTGAGCAAGCACTTACTCGTGAAGTGCGGAAAATCAATTTATTGAAGCTAAAGCAGTATTTTAAGTTCTGGCAGCCTTTTACCAGAAGCAAATCCTAAAGACCATACATTGTAAAAAGGATTAACTGCTTAGGCAAATTTCAAATAATTCCATGGCTGTGAATAGATTTTTGCAGACTTACTTTATCAGAATCAGTAAATGTTTCTTGATGTCTTAAATATTTCTTTCTTTCACTTAGAAGAGCTTTGTAAACATAGCATTTGGTTGGATATTTTGGGCAGACTGGTAGAATGTCCAAAAGTGAAGATTGCTTAACAGTTTCCATTATAACAACCTGTTCTTGTTTGCTGAAAATGTTGCTAAACTTAACTGTTGGACTAAAAAGTTTCCACCATGAGTGTTTGCCTGAGGATGAATTTTTTTTAAAAAAAAAAAGTTTTGCTGTCTTCAGGAACATCTGTTGGCTGAAATATTGTTTTGGTTCTCTTTAAGAATTTCTAGCCTTCTGCCCTTTTCTGTCTGTGCAAAAATGACTACAACAAACTTTCTGATATGTGTAGCTTGTGCATTACTTGCAGCCTGTCAGAGGCTGGTGCTATTGGTGACCAGTAATGCTGGTCATCCTTGGTCCCCCTTGCAGCTCCATTACACCAGCTGAGCTGGACATCTGCTGTCCCTCCAGAGTACATGTCTCTCTGCAGGCCTGTAGCTGTGCTTTCTGCTGAAGTGGGAGGACTAGAGGAAGGAGTATTGTTGTGTGAAGGACACTGGAATGAAAAAGGTGAAAAATAACCTTCAGATTTGAGGACTTGAGGTCTAGCACTTCAGTCCCATGGGGAAAAGCAGTACCTAAGCCTTTTTGGACAAATAGAAAAAACGAGAAGAGGGTATAGATCTGTGTGTGACACAGGTTCAGGATGTCACAGAGTTAAACAGGAGTGAAGAAATTGTGATAGGGTCTCAGTGCATGACCCCTCACTTACAACCTTCTGTCAGCAGTTCAATTCTATCAGCTGAGCCACCAAAATTCTCCTGCTCGTTCACATAGAAGAAAGTATCCTACTACTGTTATTTCAGAAATGCCATGTCCTGGTGACAACGTAGAATCATGCTGAAAACTTTCCCATTTTATCAGTGACAAAAGAAACTTTAGTAGTATTTAGTGCTTGGTGCCACTGTTTACCTAACGCAGTGTAGTAGACTTTGGCTCATAATGTTCAGCATCAGCCTTTGCAAGATGAGACAGCGTTGTTCCAGGTTTTGTTTTTTCCCCTTCTGGTGATTCAGCTTCATGCAATGACTTGGAGTGTTGCAAGACTCTGGGGAACTAAATTCATGCAGGCAGGGCAGGATATGGTTGAAAACTTTGCTCCCAGTAAAACAATCTCAAAGCCAAAATGAAATGTATGTGGCTGCTTCATCAGCCACACAGAGACACCAGGAAAAAGTCACTTCAGTAGGAAGAAAATGAAAGAGCCCTGCCTGCACATGTGAGGTCCTTGTACCTTTCCTGTACCAACAGGATGAAGGATAGCCTTTGGCTATCTAGAGCTATAGCTTAATTTATTTCTAATGTCCGTGTTTCAGAACTACCCAACTCCTCACAGAATGTGACCTTCTCTGACCTACCCCTTCCTCAAGTTCAGCTAAACTTTAGGAACTTTAGGAATCCAGGACTTTAAAAGATGGAAGTAACTCTGGGTTTTGATCCTCCTACTCGTGAGGAAACAGAAGCCTTTTCCTCATTATTGTGTTGCAAAATTGCATCTTGGCTCACAGTTACTTTCAGGATCTCTCTTGCATGATGCTTTTTTACTTTATCCACTGTTTTTTCTTGCTTTTTAGTCAAGATGACATTTACAGTCAGTTTTCCAGTTTTCCAAGAATCTTCTTTCCTATGTAGAGGAGCAACAGTAGAAGCACATTTCCTGGTGGTATTTCATGCTGCCTATATTACACTACCTCTTGTAGGCAGCTGTGGAGGGGTTCATGGCTTTTAGAAAATAGGTGCTTTGGGATGCTGTCTGGGAATCACAGGAGTTGCATACTCCTTTGCAAAGGCAAAAATATAAATGCAGAAAAAACCTAGAAATGGTGTTTATACCTGAAAAATGTTTAACCAGATCAGCTGTTTGCATAATGCTTGCTTTTCTGAGGCCTAAACCACCTGGAACACAATTTCCTGCACTGCACCAATCAAGAAGTTTAGAACTCTTAAAAGCTGGCATTATTTCTGCACACATCCTCCACCTCCAATAGCTAAAGAAAAGTCTTGATAAAGGTCTATTGTACTTGGCCTCAAAGCAGTGTGTGGAAAGCTTGGGCTCAGTGTCTTGGCACTGTCATGCACAGGGGAAAGCTGAGGGGAGACGTGAATTAAACCAGCCAATTTGCTGAGGAAAGAGCTGCCACATCTAGTTAGTAGGGAAGCAGCATGAACAGAGATGTTGTAAAGCTGGAATTATTTGTCTGGATTGCAAGAAAGTACTTGCTTTGAATTCCATCCAAAATATGAATATATTTTGTAAGACTAGGTAAGAGCCAGGTGGTAAAGGAAGAGGTGGTTCAGGTTTTTGCCACCAGTTAGAAATGGAGTGATAATTGTTGTGTTTATTATCCCCTTCTCCCATCTAACCTGAATGCCCCAGTCACCAAGCTATAAAATATATGTACCACATCCCATATCTCTGTTCATCTTTTGTTTGTACAAAAGAAGCATGACCACTTATTCAGGTATTTATTTGCCCCAAAGAGTAAATTTGAGGTACTAGTCCAGGCTTCCAGAATTGCTAGATCATCTGACATGAAGCAGTGTTAGAATATCGTTTACTATTGCATTTGTGACCCTATACTATTTTTAACTTGTGATGAAGGGTGCATAATCAGGCTGGTGACTAGAAAAGCTTGTCTAAGACAGCCTATGGAGATCATGTGTTGCTGCTTTAGAATGTTGAAATTGTTACAGGATAACATTTTGAGAAGGAAATAGACAAGAATGTTTGAGCAATGAGTGAGGTGGAGAGGGGGCTCCGGCTGGTGAATTTGGCATAGAAGCTATTCTGTATAATCCTATCAAGGCTGCTTTCTGGTTTTTTGAACCATTGCTAAGTTAACAAACATGTACAAGATTGGAAAAACTGTCAGGAAGATGAGAAAGTTAAGCTAGAATAAAGGATAGGTGATAAATTACCCTTTAGTTCTTTCCTGTTATACTGGCTAGCCTACCTGTTCTGGTTAGTCTTTCTCCAGTCACTATAGGCACCTAGCAAAGGAAACATCATTAAGAAATTAAGTTGCTGTGGTCTGCAGCTGTATGGCAAGATGGCATAAAACCAACATGATTTTCCAAAACATGTGTTTAGCACTTGATCTGGAAGTCACAAGTTAAATGACACTTAGAGTTCTCATTTCCTTTTCCTCAAGTAGCTCAGATCAATAAACTATTTCAAAGACTATGTTAAATATTTTCATTCTCCTTTTGAGAGCTGGCACAATATCTTTGTAGCACCTGGCCTATAGGTGCTCTCTTGAGTGAGTCTGTTCATGAACATTCTCAGTCTGAAGCTAAAATGATAACTATACTTTCTCTTACTGAATTAAATGTATAGATATTATTTTTTAGCCAAAATTCGGGGATAGAGTGTACCCGATTCTGGTACAGAATTGCTCATTCATTTTAAGATGGACTTACTGTAGGAAAATACTTGTTGCATTAGTTAAGCTCTGCAGTAGAGACTGACCTGGACAGTTGTCCCCAGAAAGAGGTGCTGAAGGCAGAAGCCTGTGTGGAGCTGTTGGGTTCCACATCTCCAAAGAAAGTCCAGTTGACAGATCAGCTTTAAAAAGGCATCAGGTGAGAATGTGCAAGAACCTGAGGTGTTTGGATCCATAACAAGCATAAGTTCAACTTACTTGAAATGTGTAGTATTTCTCTTTAAGTTTTCATATATAATACTTGAAGTATATCTTGTATTTATTGCACAATATCTTGATGCTTTTTTTTTTTAGGTTAAAAAAGAAGTTGGTGATGTTAGCATCCTAGTCAACAATGCTGGTATTGTAACTGGGAAGAGGTTTGTTGATTCTCCAGATTCACTTGCAGAAAAAAGCATGGAAGTGAACACAGTGGCACACTTCTGGGTAATACCTTTATTTTGCATATACATGCAAAACCATCCTTTTAACATGTTTTCAGTGTTAATTTTGCCTCTTGGAATTACAGAAAACATGCAGGGAAGTGTAGCTCTTTGGAAGTTCAGTCAGAAATTATACAAGGAATTACTTTCTATGCCTGGGTGTCTGTAAAATAAAAAAGGGGCGGAAAAATGGATCCTTTGGGAACCTCTGGTGTAGGCAGGTGGAAGCAAAACTGTTCCGTATTAAGAATTACTACTAAGAACTGAAGTTTACCATCTGCTAAATTCTGAGGCTAATCATGTGTCATAATCTCACTATTAACTGACATGAAGCAGGCCCAGCCTAATAGTTGCTGCCCTAGTAACAGAAGTGTTCCATTCTGTTAGTGTATTAGTTGTTTTGGGGTTATAATAGTTTCATTAAGAAGTACCACATGTCCAGATACTGCTCTTAATAACAAGTAGAGCTTTTGTCAAAAATGTGTAACCTAATGTGCTTTTTCTTTCTTCCAGGGAAGGCAGGTCACCTCTATGGTGTTTCTATCATAAAGGATTGTAATGAAGATATTAAAACATGTTTTAGTTTATTTATAAAAAATGTAATTGCAAAGATTTCATGAATTTAACAGAAAGAAAGGACGAAATTCAATTCTTTTCCTGTTCTAAAAAATTTGCAGTGAACACTTAATTCTCATTTGAAGCATTGAAGTGATGAGCTGAAAGAAACTTCATGACTAGCAAGTTACCATCTGTCTTTTTAGTAGTACTGGTGGGGCTGGGAAAGTCCCTATTTAAACAGCTGAATGTTAGGGTTCAAACAACAAGTTCCGTATACACACATTTCCCCCTTCTCCATAACAGAAGGGGGAAAGCCTATTTAAACTAGGGAGAATTTTTCTAAAAACACCTTTAAAATATTATAGCATGTAGCTTAATTGGTAAAATGCTTCACTGCAACTCTGACTTACATTGCAGACTTACAAAGCCTTCCTCCCAGCCATGATTGCCACTAACCATGGACACTTGGTTAGCATTGCAAGCTCTGCGGGACTGTTTGGAGTCAATCGTCTTGCAGGTAGTTTATTAAAGCTAATGTTCACTTGTCTAAGTGTATAGTCTAATTAGTTTCATTTAAGTTCTGCAGTCAGTACTCATGATTAAAAAAAATAAAATCCCTAATTTCAAGTTTCTGGATCTTTCCATATAGGTAGAACAAACAGTCACACTTTCAAAGCAGCTGATCTAAAATAGATCATTTCTTTCAAAAGAGATTTTCAGAAGCTTAGCACTACCTTGAAATAGGTTGTTCTGCCAAGGCAGTTAGAATATCTAGAACCCATGCAGAAGTCTGGACACTGAGAACCTCAGTGTTATTAAGGTTAACTTGCAGATATTTGATAGGGAAGAGGCCACTTTTTTTTTGTGAATGTTCTCAAGCTAAGCAGAGCTACAAAATCCAGATGCAGTATAGAGCCAGAGGTGTGATACCTCATTTTGCATTATTTGTCTCTCAGCCATTTGTTCAAGAGGACCCATGCAGTGATGGCAACTGCCTACAGGGGAGCCCGAGAGGGACTCTTTGCTGGGAACCACAATGACAGGACAGGGGGAATGAGTTCAAACTGAAGGAGGGGAAGTTTAGGTTAGATATTGGAAAAAAGCTTTTTACTATGAGTGGTGAGACATTGGAACAGGTTGCCCAGGGACGTGGTAGCTGCCCTGAGCCTGGTGGTGTTCAAGACCAGACTGGATGAGACCTTGAGCAACCTGATCTAGTGAGGAGGTGTCCCTGCCCATGGCAGAGAGGCTATGGACTAGATGATCTGTAAGGTCCATTCCAACCCCTAAATTCTATGATTCTATGAACACAGAAGGCATTTCTGGAGAACATACACAAAGGGGGAGGAAAATGAAATAAGGTGACATAACAGTAAAAGAAATTTAGCTTTCAAGGCAGTGATAATGAGGACAAATTGAATTCATGCACTCACATCTCACGCATCAAACTCAGGTTTTCAAGACTCTCTTATGTGGTTTCAACTTGAAACTCAAAGATAAGGTCTGGTATGAAAAGATAACTATCACTTTCTATGGAACAATAGTAAATTAAAAGTGATAGCAGGGATGCAATGAGAAACCCTCTGTCTGCCAGTCTAGAACAAAAGCTAATTTAGGAGAGGAAATGTAAAGGAATGAATCACATCGAAGGCAAATTTTATTAGTAACCTAATCCCAAAACCAGTTCCTATTCTGTTGTGAAGTATTTTATTATAGGACAGTCATTTCCTACAGGTACTGTGTATATATAATTTCTATACTATAGTGTGCTGTTGTACATTGTAAAAGAAGAAGAAGGTGGCTAGTTAGTCATACTAGAGCAAAGTTTTATCCCTGTTCTCTACTGAACAGACTAACAGTTTTCAACAAAGTTTAGTTTGTAAATTTAAATATTTAACTATAATTAATGTTTTATTTTACAGATTACTGTGCAAGTAAATTTGCAGCAGTTGGTTTTGCAGAGTCAATTGATTTAGAGATGAGATGTCTGAGAAAGTTTGGTATTAAAACCACAATTGTGTGTCCTTACGTCATAAACACAGGAATGTTTGATGGTGTTAAGAACACGTGAGTAAAGTCTAGTGAGGTTTTTGTGCAAGTTGCATGTTTAGCATGTTATGTATCCGTATTTCCTTTATGAAAATCACAAGCTAGGATTTTCTCTGCTTATGTTATTTTTAGGGCTTCAGATGGGTGTTAACAGTGCTATGCAGTGACTGGGCAACCCAAACAGCAAAGGTCTTAGGTACTTAACCTGTTCATTTAAGTTGAAATGTGAAACATTTGTGTCCTTCCCTCCCTAGAAGCGAAATGCTCCAGTTGTCCTGTCTGGTTTCTAAACCCCCATTCACCTCCTGAAATTGGTAGCATAGCTTTGCTCAGTATGCATGTATAATGACAAAATTTAGAAGCCAAATAAAAGACTGGTGTGTCTTCATATTAGGACTCTGATTTGTTTTATGAGTGATAATACAGAGGGAAAATAACAGTGTCCACTCACTCCTAACATAATGAAGGTTCTGTTGTTTGTAGGATTTGTGATGTTTATTTCATTGTTGGGGCCTTTTGGGGTTTTTGTTGGGTTTTTTTCTTTGTTGAATAACTGTAAAATGGAGACTTATTTTGAGTAAAATGTGAATCCAAAACAATTTGTAAGAAATATAGTAAGAAATGTTTTCTTTCAGGTGGCCACATGTGCTTCCCCATCTGGATCCAGACTATGTGGCTGAGAGGATAATCACTGCTGTTCGGCGGAACCAAGAAATGTTGCTGATACCACGCATCCTTTATGTTTTTTTTGCTTTGAAAAGGTAGGTTATATCTTTCCTTCTTTTCCTCTCTTTTCTGTCCAGGGATTTTTCAGCCACATTTGATTAAAAGTAAAAACCAGGGTTCTAGTTGTTGGTGTGAATTTTCATTAAGTTCTGTACATTTTGGAAGGTTTTTTTGTTTCTAGGGATTCAGTCTACCCTTGGACCAATAGACCTATCACAGACCAATGACTGAAATGCCTAACTGTGACTTGGTGACTCCACTGGAGTGCAGTGTTACTGTGGGCTATAGAGACTGGGCCTGCTTCTTAGTAACTGCATCTCAGAGAATCATTGGTTGGAAAAGACCTTGAAGATCATTGAGTCCAACCATTAACCCAACACCTATCTGGTGTCTTGCTCCAGCATTTGTGGCACTTCTGACTCTATTGTAAGCCAGGTTGGGATACTGATCTATCTAATAACTTAGGCTGCCAAATGAGTGTAATGGATATTTTGATAGGACTTGTGGATCTATATTCTAGAGAGTTTACTGCCTTTGCCAGTATTAGCCAGGTAGAACTAATTCTGTGATAAAACTGCACCATTTTTATATGTCTGTTTTGTTCCTTTTAATCTTGTTCTTCAATGCTTCTAAATTACAGCATTCTACCAGTGAAAGCAAATGTTCTGCTTATGGAGTATTTTGGAGTCCTTGATGTCATGGATACCTTCAAAGGTCGACCAAAGAAGGAGTGAAAAAGAACAAAATTCAGAGACCAGCAACTCTAAAGCGGACCTTGTTAAACGTGGTGGTGGGAAAGGTTTGCTTCTCTAGCAGCTATGAATGTAAGGTGCCTCGTTTCTCATCATGGGTAACAAGATTTAGGCAAGTTGCTTTTTAATTGGCTCTTAATCAACAGCTTTCATTTGAACTATTTTTTTAATCCAGTAAACTGTTCTCTTTTGACCTCACTGTGGAATTATGTTCATTGAATTTAGTTCCTTTGGTTGTGTCTGTTATCATGCCTAAAATATTATCCTTCATCACAGACTAAAATAGACAATTTGAGGGGGACAAGGGACCAAGAAACTACATGTATTTGGCAGGGAGCTAGGAAAGCCTCTAGTGGACCTGTGCTCCTGTTGCCATTCACTGAACCATGAGGGTGGGCTGTACTGCTGGTGCTATTACCATTCCCTGGTAAACTGAGGAATTCAAGAGCTTCCTGAAACAACAGATTCTAATTCATACAAGTGAAAGCTTTGTGAAATGAAAATGTGCTGCTGGTGAAAAAGCAATGCGGTATATTAATTTTTGGAGGTGGTGATCTCTGGACTCACAGGTGACTATGGATGTTGGGGCAGGGAGAGGGAAAGATATAAATTATGTATTTGTGCTGCTAGTCTACTTTGTCTAATTTATTTTAAGAGCTTATACTATGCAACTTTGTAACAGAAGTCTTTGTATCTAATTGCAGTATTTTAAGAACAGTTTTAAATTGTCATCTCCTAAGAAGAATAAACTTGTAGTTTATAAGCTTAAGACTGCCAGCCTAGGTGGGCTATGTAATGTCATGCCAAGTAACACAACGAGCTACTGAAAGCAGAAGTGGTGTATTTGTATAACAGGAGTTTCTCTTGGGATTATTTCAGAAAGGGATGATGCTGATAGAACTGGACTAATGGGATCATTACAGGTGTAGGTTGAGTAACAGCATAATGTTTTGCTTCTCTGAGTTGCATGGCACGTTGCCTCATGCCTACAGAGATTTGTTTTACTTTCCCTTTACTCTTAAGACTATCCCTTTACTTTGGATATATTCTGAGGGGAGCCTGTCCCTTTTTGAGAATAAACTGACATAGAAAACTGAAAAGCTGCTTGACTTTTTGTAATCCAAAACAAGAAAAAGGAAGCTTATGCCTTAAATGTCATTTATGTACATGCTGGCTAAATCTACCTCATGTCACAGTACTCTGCTAGCAATTGGAACAGTGTGGAGAAAAGGGTGACTTTTATTAATAGTGGAGTTTTTTCACCATGATGGCCTAGCAAATACCTTCATTTTCCTTGTCTATGCAATTAGTGAGGTTTACCAGCAGAAAAAAAGTTTACATGGAATTACTTTGCCTTAAAGCAAGTATGTTAAAAACAGCCTTACCTTTACAATGGATTGATGAGTTAGAAGTCAGACTGATGAAGAAAAGATTTGTCTCACTGTCCTTTCAGAGCTGCAGATTTTCTACCTCAGAATTTATGCTCATTCTACAGTTCTCATGAGGAAATAAAAGTTACCAGTTACCAAAAAGAGATTAAGTGTGTCCATATGTTCCTTGCACTGTTTGCAAAATCAGCAACTAATAACTGTGTGGTGTATCTGTGTCTTCAGGCTCTTCACCTTTTTTGTACTGACAGAGCACATTTTTCTGTCCTGACTATGAAAAATTACATGTGCAGAATTCTAGAGCAACGGAGGAGAGAAGATTATACTTATCAACAGTATGAGTGTCAAACTCCAGCTGTAGTGAAAGCAAGTCGCTTTTCATCTGTCATGTCTCTGTGAACATGTTCTGCTGAGGGAAAGTGGAAGCAGTGAGCCTGGCTGTGGGATTTGTAGATTCTCAGCAGGTTCAGGTTTGTCACACAACTAGGAGAATTTTACCTGATGATGATCAGTGCCAGAGAAGTACATTTCCAAGGGATTTTATTAATTCACAGAATCATTGACTTTGGAAGGGGCTCCTACTCAGAGCAAGATCAATGTGAGCAGGTCCCTCAGTACTGTGTCCAGTCAAGTTTTTATATCTCTAAGGCTGGAAACTCTGTAACCTCTCTGGCTAACCTGTTCCAGTTCACACTGTTTAAAAACAAATAAATGAAAATTATGTTTAAATTGAATGTACTTTTTTTCCTTGTCCTTTCACTGGATATCACTAAGCATCCGTGTTTTACAGCTTCCTATCTCAGGTACTCATACACATTGGGCCTAAGCCTTTTCTCTAGGCTGAGCAGTCCTAGCTCTCTTGACCTCTCTGTGTATGCCAGGTGCTCCAGTACCTTGTCTTTCCAGCCCTTCACTGGCCTCCCTCCAGTATAGTTGTATCTTTTACAGACCATGTTCTGTATGATTGAACATGCATAGTATGTCATACAGAGCTTCACTAGAAAATCTCTGCTTAATAGCTGTCCTGGTGGGAGTACACAAATATTGCTTTTATGCAACTGTATTGCTACTGCTTTGAATATTGTGGTCACTGTCAAAATATCTCATGGGCCTGGAGGATAATACCCTATCCTGTGGTGATTTTGATCTCCCACATCTCCTGAGATGGCATGATGGATTTGTAGAGTTGTATCCTGAAAGTCAAGCAGCACAAATCCCTCCCCTGCGTTCATGAGATTGCATGGAGTGAGTGTTTGGATCTTCAACCAACATGTGAACTCCATGAAATGAAAAATGGCTTACTTCCAGCCTAACAATGCTCTTGATTCATTACTTTCCTGATCCCAAGAAAGACTTCTTCCTCCTGCTCTCACTAAGAAAACTCATGAAAGGATTGCTGTGAGACCCCAACAAGAAGATAGAAAAAGAAGAGCATTTTAGTTGTATCAGCATAATGTCTGACAATAGCTTGAGACTGCTGGATGGTCTATCAGGCAGCTCTCATAAAAGAATTCTTGGTTTCCTGACACATGCTTGAAATATTAAATAGTCTTTTAACAAAATGACTGGGAATGCTGTGTTGGCTTAACAATCACTGATACAGTGAGTCAAAGCCAATCCAAGACATGGTATTTTGTTGCCTGGGGTTTTTTCCATGTGAGTTCATATTCCTGTGGTAGCAGAAATATTACTATCCTTTAATGCTTCAAAGCATGGAGAACATAGTGCCAAGAAAAAATAACTTGATCCTCTGAACAAGGCTGAGGAGGAAAACAAACACACAAAAACCAGCAACTGAGATACAAGCTCTATTATTACTTATTAATTTGGAAATCATACTCAAGAGCTTGCACCTGCTTGGAAGTTGGTGTTCATTGTGGTCTGATCTCATTCTGGGAAGGAACCAAGCACCTCTTCTGTTAACTTTCCTAGGGGCAGTTTATCTTCAGAAGACACCTGTGTGGACTGCATGTTTTTCTAAGCAGCTGTTCAAAAACATAGGATTTGAGAAGTAAATCTTTCAATAAAATAACTTCGATTCTCTCACAGAATTTCTCTTTGCTGTGATAATAACAAGAGATGAGTTTGGATCTATAATTATCAGATATTCTGGGAGAATGCAGAAGTACTGTCTCTCAGGTGACACTTAACAGGTTCATTAATGCTTCATTAGGTGGTGGAGCACTACAGGCAGTGGTTCTGTCCACTCATTGTGTGACATGCTTTCTCTGTAGTCCTAGGTGTCTCCAGCTTGACAGATATTTGCTCTGCTTGCCAAAGCCACCAGACTCTCAGCCTGATGTTCTGCAGATAGCATATGCCTGAGGAAAACAGATTTGTCTAGGGAAGAGAGGTGAAAGAGAATCTTCATGCCTTCTTCCCTTGCCCTTGACAATATTCACTCTAGGAATGTGAGTATCCTCCTGACTGCGATACAAATGTAGAAGAAAAGGGAGAGGTTCTATGCCAAGGTGCCTTGCAGTATTGGGTCTACTGGGAAGTTGCTGCTTGATTGAGACACACCGTAGGGCAAAGCCCTAAGACAGAGTCTGACATATTCTGACACTTCCTCCTCTCCATGTCTTGAGGTCCAGAGACAGCACCCCTGGCTTTGGCACACAAAGAAGAATCAACAGTCAGAACATGAGTAGCAGCAACAACACTGTCTGCAGATGCAGTTAACAGCAAAAGAATAAAATTTAAAAAAAGTTCTTGCTGAACAAGTTTTGCCTGTTGGCACCATAAAGTTCATGCCCTGAATGTGCCATGATTTGGGCTATGAAACGTGGGTGATGGGGCAATCCCCCTGAGGAGGAATCTGCATCACCTGTATTAAGTGCATCACTGTAAAAGCAGCTTGCTTGAAGATTAATACAGAATGATATGTGATAGTTGAGGAACCTGCTGAGCATGTGGTCTTTAACAATTACTGACTAGAAGTGGGAGTTCTTGCTGGAAGGCTGACATGGATGGTCTTCTCTACACTAATTTTGGAAAATAGACTTTGCATTAATTATTCGCCTGCCTGCGTATTTCTGGCATGTTAATGGTTGACTTGCACTATGCACAGGTAATAAAATTCCAAAACTGATTTGAATCATGATACAATTATTGCAAAATATCATACCTGTGTTTGGGGGAGCTTCTAACAAATTAAGAGAGAGTTGTCAGTTCCAAGTAATCACATCTGTAAAGGGTGTTGTATCCAGAAGGAATAAATCTCACCACAACAGCCAGGTGAGGTGCTCGTTTGAAGTGTTTCCTTCAGGAAGTATATAATTTCCATGCTCTGGTATTGAGTCAGTCTGTAACAGAAGATGGGAGTAAAATGACAAGATATCTAGTTGAAATCTTCTGTGTTACAACTCCCTTGTCAAAAAAGGGAATACCAAGTTAATTTCACCAATAAAAAATAATTAAATATTTGAAGCACGCAGAGCCTGTTTGTGGAAATTAGCTCCACCTGCAGTAGCAGGCAGAAATCTGTTTCCAACCTTGCTTCTGAGCCAGGGACTTGGAAGACAGCTCTGTAGCTAGTTTCTTCAACTTTTTTTTTTCCACGTAGACAATGAAATGGCTGACTGCCCTCATCAC